AGCAGCGGGCGGCACGTGGGGCACGCATGGGTTGCGGGCAGCTCCCGGGGGAGTTCCGCCTGCAGACGGGGGACGGGAGCAGGGACTGCCGAGGGCTGCGGGGTGCGACGCGGGGGTGGCTTCTTCCCCGAACACTGTGTGTGAAGCCAGTGCGTGTGGCTAACTGGTGAAATAAACTGGTGAACGTCGCTGTTGGCGTAGGGGGCTTCACTCCACAGGCAGGAACATTGGACGTTAATTTAAAAAGTTATCTCTGATGCTGCGTATGCCAAAATTGTGTGTCTGGCTACATATCAAATATTAATGCAAAATCTATTTTGACAAAGCCATTAAAATAAAAAAAAACCAAAATGCTCATTGCCATCTCTTCTGATGCCAAGCATCCACAGAGAAACAACACAAATTATCTTCAATGTATCCCCAAGATCCTTTGATCAAGCTTCATGTCAAATACTAGTCCAATAAAAATTTAAGCATGCAGTAAAACTGCACTTGTTGGGCGCGTGCATTGAAACAATACTAGTGACTGGCAGCTGGGCAGGGTGGAGGAAGCTCCATTAGAAACTGACTGTGGATAAACCAAACCTAGAAACGTGTACATCTTAAATAGTTAATGATTGACATAAAAGACTTACCTGAACAGCTACGCAGGTGTGGTAACTTGTGCTCCACTTGAAGTCATGCAGCAGACTTGCACTCAGGAGCTGGTTATAAAACACTGAATCTTGACTCTTCTGTCAACGGAAACATGAATGAATAAGTTCAGGAAAAGGATTATGCAAATATTGCAATGAATGTTCTTCAGAAAGCATTCCAGTATTAACTTTCTCTGGAATGGTTTATGGTCACGCATGTATGTGTGTCACAGGTTTGGGGTATCCCAGATGGCCATAAAAAAACAAGAGAAAAACACAAACTTGTGTATGTAAGCTTTCTGTATTTTCTCTAAACAGAGCAACACAGATGAAACACACGTATTTCATATTTAAGCAGGGTAACAGATAAAAGCGGGGAAGATGGTAAGAAGCAGAAAAACTTATGAAATGCACATACTTGTTTCTTACCCCTCCTAGGCAGGCCACAAGCCAACAGTTCAGGGAACCGGCCCATCGAGACGCTGTAGCTCCCTCAGTTGGGTTCTTGGCATGTTCCCAGCTGCTGCCTCTTGTTCTCCTCAACGCGGGAGCTGTGCACAGCCAGTGCTGAAACCACTGTAACCTGGCGGCTCTCATTCACTACCTGTCTCTGATATGTTCTCTTTATGGGACAGCAATACCATGGATAAAATTCTTCTGATGTAAGAGCTGACAGATCTATTAGTATAACTAAATATTGCAGTGATTAAAGTCATTACTTTCCCATACAGAACAAGGCCTGCAGTGGGTTTAGAGTTGTAATAGTTCTGAGCTACATACAATATTAAAGGTCTATACAGTATAGCTCAGTAGCAGTATTCTTTACTTTTGAGTAACATTACCTGTAATGAAGCTGATAAATAGATGCAGTTATGCTTGTTCTCTTTTTGGTATTTGCCTCATGTTTCTCATGCCTTTGAAAGCTAACTTTCCACTGGAATGCTGACCTGAAGGGATAAATCTTAAGATCCCTGTGCTGGGGCTATGTTTAAAAAACAAAACTAAAAAAACCCAGACAAAAAAACCCCCCACAAAACACAACAACAAAAAAACCAACACCCCACACCCCCCATAAATAAAATATTCCAAGGATCTCTGATGGCTACGGAGAGAGAACATCAGTAGTATAGCTACCTCTCTGGAGTAGAGAGGACTAGGAGCTCTAGTAGAAGAGGAAGGAGTTCTAGTAGAAGAATAGAGATTTTTCACTTAAGACAGTAACTACTTACTTCATTTATTGCAGAAATTTAAAGTTTTCAAAGTGACTGTGCTGCTAGAACAGCTTCCATTGGAAGGGTCTCCCGAGTTCTGATAAAGCCATGTTCTGCTGCAAGTGAGCCTCATCTCCAGCAAATCTTAACACGTGTGTTTTGCGTGCTTAGGGTGAATATTTTGATCAGTCGCATGTGGCCCTACCAAACGTTTCAAAGTTTTTCTTGCATCAAGCTCTGGAAGAGAGAAAAGCCGCAGAAGCTTTGATGAAGTATCAGCAAGAAAGAGGAGGCCATTACTGTTCTAAAACCATCCAGGTGGGTAGCAGACAACAGGCTTTCAAGCAGTTGCAATCTGCAGTAATTACTCTAACTTCTTGCATTATATTGTTGGAACTTCAGATCTCTGCATTCCTCCACTGTTAGATTTCCAGGTATAATTTCCCTGTCATATTGGTGTATGTGGCTTTGTTCTTGACGGTGAGGCCTAGAAACTGTCAGACATACAGTCCTAACTCTACGTGGTTACTTTCTAGCCCCCAAAAATATTGAACAATGGTCCTCTTTTTTTTCACTCAGCTGGAGACTGCTGTTTCTGGTGTGCTGTAACGGATTATGAGACTCTTTAAACTGTGCTGAAACAGCCCACTTGTCTCCTTCACATTGAAACTAAAGCCATTAGCACCTGAGAAAGGTGGTAAGGAAGGAGGTAGGAGAAACATCCAGCTTGGGGCAGCAGTCGATTTGCTGGAGCACAGCTCAAGTTAGAATTTGAAAGAGAGATGTGACTCAGGCTTGCACAGGTACAAAGGAGTAACTCAAAATTACCAGGAAAAAAACCCCACCTCATTTGTTAAAGACCAAGGGGCTGATTCTTCTCTACCAAATTAGTATTCTGTAAATAGCTAATAAAGAATGCTGCTCTTTGGCCTATCATAGCAGTTGTTAAGCTGTAGAAAGCAAAAATAAAAAGGCCATCTTGAAAATCTTTCTAAATATTCAGTTTGAATCAGAGAAGACCTTATAGCAACCTTCCAGTAGTTAACAGGGGCCTACAGGAAAGGTGGGGAGGGACTCTTTTATCAGGACATGCATCGATAGGACAAGGGGCAATGTTTTTAAACTGAAAGAGGGTAGATTTAGATTAGATATTAGGAAGAATTTCTTTCCTATGAGGGTGGTGAAAGACTGGCACAGGTTGCCCAGAGAAGCTGTGGATGCCCCCCCTCCCTGGCAGCGTTCAGGGCCAGGTTGGACAGGGCTTTGAGCAACCTGGTCTAGTGAAAGGTGTCCCTGTCCATGGCAGGGGGCTTGGAACGAGGTGATCTTTAAGGTCTCTTCCAACCCAAACCATTCTGTGATAGGGTTTCCTGGTGTAAGAATGCTCCTCAGGCATTAGCTGCTGCTATCTAAATCTCTGTTCCTTGAAAAAGTGCTTGGGTTCTGCCCCTTCTGTATGTTTACAGCCATCCAACTCTGCAAAAACCAACAGATGCTCCAAACTAGGAGGAGTTGTTGCAAAATCCTAGCACATCTTGTTTAGAGCACCAGGTAAGTTGCAGGAAACCATCAGCGAATACAGTAAGATGAGCTGTTCTTCTGAATAAATGTAATTCTGTCTTTGTTTTTAGAAACCAAACTGTGAGTATGCAGTTGGTCTGATGAAAGCCCTGGAAGTAGCGATGGTACAGTGGAAAACTATGATACGGTATTTTGAAGAGCTTTATGCCCTGAGCATTGAAAATGCAGACCCTCATAGTGCAAGCACTATCAAGAAACAATTTATTGGGCCCAAAATCCAGAAGATCAAGCTGATGGGAGATCTACTGACCAATGCTCGCAGGCTTGACTGTTCCCAAGATGGCAGAAATAGTCTTGGGGATTACTTTATGGACCGGTTGCAGAAAGAGTTCAGAACAGGCACAGAGCCAGAGTCTAGTCAGCACTGCAGCCCCTGCCCACCTCTCCAGCAGTGCACAGGAACTGCAGAGGGTCTGAAGCGACACCAGAGAGAATCTTCCCAGCACAGAAACAGCATAGGGCCAATATATGCAACCATACACTGCACTGCCACGCTACCACAGTGTAATGATGGGGCAGGAGCTAAAGCGAAGCAGGGCAGGGAGAGCCTTTAATGCTGCGGCTGTTGCAGCTACAGGGCAGCTCCTAAGGCAGACCTGTATGGAGGGTGGGCTTTAGACCAGGACTTGAGAGATGTGATGCTGTATCGCTCCTCCTGCTTTACACCCTGTCCCCTCAGCCTCTGTTGAGTCACAGCTCAAAATCTATCCCATAGGGTTATTTTGTTTAAATGATAGCAAGGTTGCTAACTACCTAAATTGTTGGCATTAGTCACACTTTCATCTATGCAATTCTTCCTAGAAGCCAAAAGCTTTTAAGCCTCTTTTCTGTCTTAAATGATCAACAGGATTAGTGTTAATTATGTTTAATAGTATATATAACTTCTATTAAAAAAAAAGTAACTTTAGTCCAAGGAAATTTCTATATGGCAGAAAATCCAAAGATTTCATTTTATATTATTAAATATTTTATATTACTAACAGATATTTACATTATTAACAAGTATACTAATATAATGAACTTTTTTAAAAGATTTGTTTTAAAACAAAGTTTTCTTGTCTTATTTCTATCATAGTAGCAATTTAAATAAGTAGCCTAATTCATTTACTTATCACCCAGCTGTTTCTAGTGGTATACTTCTCCAAGATGAAGGATGCAAACATTTCCTCAGCAGTGGGAATAAGCCATTATGCTGGTTTTCTCTACCGTTATTTGCCTAGTTGGCTTTTCTCATTCTCAGAAAGCAGGTGAGAGATAAAATAGGGGCTCTCATTAGAGGTGATCTTTGCAGGTTCTAGTGCATATTTTGCAAGTGTCACTGAAGACACTAGCTCTAGGGCTCTGCTAGGATGGTTGCTTTAATTACCATACAGACCCCTATTTCAGCTACCTAAATTATGGTATTACTGTGGTACTACTGCTATTTCTTGTATTCCCTATCTTGGTCCTCAGTAGAGGAACAAGATCCTAGTGAAAATGCAGCACACTTAACTAGAATTGCATCATAGAGAGTGGCCACTCATTAGTTTTGCATTTCAATTAGAACAGTGTTCAATCGGGGGTGGTATTAGCACCACCATACCTAAGTCCTTTACTTTAGCCAGCCTGATTAAAGTTCAGAGGTGTCCAAATTCCTTCCATTCATCTCCTACAGGAGTGCGCCTCTTTCTGTACACTGGCTACCAAGGTCACCCAAGAAGAGTAACGGGCTACATCAGCTGCCTGCAGCTAGGTTTTTTTGTCATTATGTACAACATCTTTTACGCAATTGGAGTTTGCTTCATTGAAAGATTGTCTCGTGCTTTTATGTAATAACGTAAGCAAAACTCCCATTATGCTTGAAAATAAATTCAGTTCAATGTTAAAAACTGGACTTTGCATTGTATTCCTCGATTTACCACATGTACAAAAATCTCTTGGAGGATACTACCATGTCTATATGTACAAAACTGCACCAGTACTTTCTACTACTAAGAAAGTTGCACAAGATGGAAGAGCAGACCACAGAATGAAAATAAATGTCAGAAAACTGCATTAAGATTAGAACACTGCACAATGAAACATTTTCAGTGAACTCTGACTTTATTATAGACAGCTGCAGTTAAGTAGCCATCTCTGCAAAACTGCATTAGCCTACCTACCTTCTGTCGGTGTTGTAACACCAAACAGACAATTACAATGCAGATGCTTTCCCAGTCTGTCTGTTAATATGATTCAAATGGGGGATGGGGGGGTGGTCGGGGTCACTTTGAAACAACCCCTGTCTTCATCTGTAAAAATACTGCAGTGTGCCACAAGAATGGCTTGAAGCACTTTTCGCAACATGCTAAATTTGCCTATTTTGAGATGGCTGCTCTCTAATACAGCAGTAGTTTAAAAGATATTTCCATCTGGGCTAGATTCCATCAGCCATCCTCATGCTGAGCATACCTTATTCAACAATTAGTTCCACTGACTGCAATTCAACATGAATAAGAGCAATGGAATCCATCCCTCTCAGTATTAAAATACAGCTCACTGAGTGTCGACAGAGCAAAGCTACTAACTGAATTATAAACTATCGCCATATAAAACCACCTCAAATACTACTGCAAACAGACCTACAACAGTCTTCTCCTTTAAGAGTTAGTGACCTTCTGAAAGGTAGGTACAGCTTCCTCCCTGGTTTCTGGTACTTAAGACTGTCTTTTACCTTAAATGAATTCCAACATAACACAGAGCCCGACTTTTAAATTTTTCAAAGCAACACTTACTTGCCTCTTCTTTTTCCCTGAAATACTGCCATGTCTGTTTCTCAGAGACTCTTCTCATAGTCATCTTTCTAGCCAGATGTATCCACACATTCTCGGATTTTAGGTCTTTCTCCCTTTTCCAAAACACGTTCTGGGCCCTCTGCCTGAAGAGACAATTCCATTCATTTTACACAAACTCACAATCAGCTATTTTCCCAGTCTCTATCCTCTGAAAAAAGAAAAGAGAACTCAATCAGTTACTGTAGACAACAAGCTCTTTTTGTCTGCATGCTGCTTCTTCTGAGAGGGCGCAATACGCTTGTGAATATGATCTCAAACGCTGTTAACAATACCTGTCTACTGTGTACAGAATGAGCCCGTCCGTGCTCTCAGCATAGGAAGACCAATCTGCCTCTGCCTTCCCAGCCTCCTTTTCAAGCACACCCTGAAAAGAAAAAGAGATGAATGTGGAACAGGCATAAGGGCAACAACACTTACAGAAACTTTACAGATTCTCTTTCTCTGCTGAATGCTTGTTCGTATGCAGACTCTGTATCTGTACTTCCAAAGCAACGCCCAAGCCATCCAAACACACAGTCTGGGGCAGCTCAGGATAGCTACAGCAGCACCACTACCCTAAATACCGCATCCAAACCAGAAGCTCTGGAGAGACCTAATCTGTACTGACACGATGAGCTACAGCCACAGAGGTCTCTGAAAATGTATTAACAACAGCATAATTCTAAATGCTTGCCATAACTGCTACCCATAGTTGCACTGAAAGGGCCCTTGCTGCTGCCCACTCTCAGACTGAGAAATTCTCTTCAAGTCTCTAGGTGGACGTCATGTTGTCCTTCATCCTCTCCACTATGGCCACACAAAATTGAGAAGGGCGTCTCAGCGTTTGTTCTTTGCAAGGACTTCTTTTCAGTGCCCACCGTACAAGGCAGTATCTTTCTAGACAAACCCATCTTTGGGAATAATACTGGAAAGTGAACATTAGTTCTGGTGGCAGCAGCAGGGAAGGAGTCCTCAAGGGCACCTTCACTGGAAGATCACTCCAAGCAGAATTCACCATCTGGTCATGGCCTTCTCCTGACTACTTCACTTCGGTGAATTCATGCAGTTAAGCGCATTCATGGGCAATTACTGGCAGTCTCCCTGTATTGCTTGTCCAAGTCCCAGAATTTGATAACGCTTTGCCCAAGGTAACCACTATGGGCACGAGTCCCAGAGTGCCTTTTCCTAGGGTCAGATATAGCCTAGAAACACACAGTGGCAGAATACACTACAACACTGGCTGAGTGTTAGGTAAAATTACCTTTTCCACAAATTAAACCAATGATCTGGAGAGAGTTTAAGTGTCCTGAGTGGGTCACACAGCCAACACCAAGCCTTGATATCCCAATTTATATATTCTTTTGTTACGGCATACAACTATTTCTCATTTATACTTATGCATTATTGTACACCTAGCACTATTTTGAAGATGAATTATTTTCACATTTTTGTTCAAAAAAGATTTTGAAAATAGATCTGCTCATTCCTTCTGGATCAAAGAACCTCTGTAATAACAGTGAAGTGTTTCCACAAGTTTGCTACTCTGCCTCTCAGAAACAGCTGGGAGATACACTTCTAAATGTGTAAGGGTGGTCAATAGCTGATCTCCTTGGGACATATCGCTTTTCAGCATCAGATACAGTGAAAGAACAAACTTGTACAGAATCCAAAAGACATACATTTTTTCTTTAAATAAAAATTTTATCTTTGGGGGATAGTGACAGAATGTGACTAACAGTTGTCATCCTTGTCTGTACTCGAAGATATTTAAGTAAGTAGAAAATAGGGACTGCAGATTAGGAATTTTTGCAAAAAACAAATCATATAACAAAAGAAGGCACCATCACGATAGCCCCTCTGAGACGTCATAGGCACGGGGACTGGGGATTAGATAATTGATGGATGTTTTTTACCTTTTCAAATTCTCTCAGTCAGCCCTTAGCCTCAATGAATACAGAGCTTTGATTGTGAATGAGTTGAAATTTCACCAACATTTATAACTGCAGAATAGAGATTAATTTTAGCTCATGTACATTAAAAATATCCATAACTGTTTTAATCATAAAGTCAATGAAATCACACAGTTGGACTGCTGAAGTGGTTCCGTATCAGAAGAAGAACCGAATTTCTCATCTCAAATGATATTCCAAAGTAAAAATTCTAGGGCACTTGAGAGACGTTACCAAAACCATCCCATTTCTCCAAGATCCAAACTCTGCCACTGGAAGTTACCTGAAGCAACAAACTCTTCTCGCACACGCAATCCAGCTGCTGCGCAACCACGCGTGCAGCAAAATACTGCTTCGTGAGGTGAAGTCAATCTCTTCAAAGATTTCAGAATAAACAGAAGCCTGAGTTGGAAGAGGAACCTGAAATGCAAATTTATACGTCGTAGCTGACGTGAAAAGAACCATTTGCTGAAGCGATAGCTGAACATAACTCCGGCCCCAGCTCTCCTCCGGTACATCGTTACTAAACCACGACTGCACTGCTTGACTGGAGGAATCAAACCCTCCCTGCGATAAACACGGCTGCAGCTTGCTCAGGCACTATCTGGGTGTCTCAGCCGCTCCAGACCTCACCCTCCCACACAACTTCTTCTTGCTCTGAGCTCAAACAGTTCGAATAACCGCGCCTGAGTC